TTTTGATTATGGCGAACTACTGTTTGAGCAACGTTGACCAAAGTGGCCACTTGTATACATTTTTTTTGGCACCCCTGGTATACACACACACACACACACACACACACACACACACACACAGAGGGTGCCAAAAAAATGTATACACATTTTAAGAAAGGAAAATACTGTATTAAAATTACACTGATGGTAACCACTTTGAGCACCTCTTGTAACTGCAGAAGTCAAACGTGACTTGTATTCATCTTTTGTTATCGATATATATTATTACAATTTTAATACAGTTTTCCTTTCTTAAAATGTGTGTCCATTTTTTTGGCACCCTCTGTATATATACCTGTGCTGTATTCTGGGTTATTTCCTGAGATCTACCTTCAAAATCACTAATTCTATCTTTAGCTATATTTTCTACTATTTAGTTTCATTGATTATATGTTTTTCATTTCCAGTATTTCTTTTTGGCTTTCCTTTCAAATCTTCTTGTTCTTTATTTATATCTCCTTCTTTTAGCCTATGGGCTCTAGTCCTTCTTTTACCTTGGAAGTGTCTTTCAGAATTTCACATCATCTGTTCTCAGGATGTGAAATTTGTCAGTTGTCATTTGCTAGCTGTCATGCAGTTTCTTTCTCCTCGTATGCTTTGTAATTTTTAACTGTCAAGTCAACTTCAGAGACTGTTCTTCTCTGGGGAATCCATTCTGCTTTAGGTTGTGAGGTGTCATATCAAGTGGTTTTACATTTGCCTCTGCTAGGACAGTACAGTTTCATCAGTTCTAACCAGTATTTAGGTTAATTTCTCAGTCTGGCTTCTATACCCAGAGCATAGTGAAAATCTGGACCTCTCATTCACATATAGTACAGGGTTGGGATTTCTTTCATAGGATCTTTTTCAGTCCACAGCCCTGTCAGAAGTCAAAATTCCTTGCCTCTCTACCCCCAGGCCAGTGGGCCAGGTTTTTTGCCTCTTGCTTTTCATAGAAGGCTGGCTACCAGTTTTACGCAGGCATTTGAGTCCAGCTCCTTGCCGTGCATAAACCCAAGGCTTCGTCTTGCATTCTTGCCCCAGGTTTATAAAACCAGCCCCAGAATGGCAGCATTGAGTCATAAACTACCTTAACCTGTGCGTTTCTCAGGCACTTTTTAGATATGCTCGAACTAAATTCTGTCCTAGTGATGATGTAAGTCCTAGTCTTCCATCATTCTATCCACAGCAGTAGATCCTTGAATCGGTGATCCTCATGGACCATTTGGCTTCAGCTCCTCCTCGCCACACTGACCTCTTTATCCCTGTTACCTCGGCCCCTCCTTTTTGCTTTTCAGTTGACTTTGAGTCTTACTCTGTTTTGTTTGACAATTTGTCAATTGGTTAAAATTTTTCCAGCCTTTCTATGTGTTTGAAGCAGGAGGGATCCTCTGTGACTGCTCAGTCTGCCATATTGACTAGAAACGTTCCCATCTTTTTAGTCTACCTTATGCTATCGTTAAGTCATCACTGTCAAATCCCTTCTTTGGGATGTTTGTGGTGAAGTGGACCGTCCCAGTCACTTTTCCTCCTTTATTTTTTTCCTGTCTAGGTTTTGGAGTGTCCCAGACCAAAGCCATCATGACTCTGGTGTCTGGGATTCCAATGGGCCCACCCCGGCTTCCGCTGCAGAAAGCCTCCAGGGAGTTTACTGATAATGCAGAAGCTAAACTGAAGAGCCTGGGTTTCCTTTCTTTCCCCGATTTAAAGGATGGAAACTTGGAAGCCTGTAGCTAATGCCTCTCTATCAAATCAGGGTGCGTGCATTGAGATATAATCCACCCTGAATCGTGCATTCATTTCTCAAGGACTTTTTACATGAGCTTGAACTAAACTCTTTCCTAGCAAATGAAATCTCACAGCAATCAACAAGTATTTAATCACTGAACTATGATCCTAAAGAAGTTATGAACCCTAAGTCATTCACTGTTTCACAAAACTTTATGGAGAAATGTCTGCTTATATGGATATAATAGAATCAAGAGGAAAGTTGTCATTAATTCTATCTGCCTTTGGGGGCTCCCATTATCTTGATTTCTGGTTCTTGATCCTATTTTAAAGTTTTCTAATTTTAAACCACTATAATGTACTTTAATTTTAATAAATATTCATTTGGAATCTAGGCCTACTCTGAGCTATTTAGGCAGGTATGCTAACTTTAATGCAGATTACGACATTCCTCCACTGTGCACAGCCCACTTGGCTGCTCAGTCTAACTCTAAAACACTTGCTTTCAGATCAGTTGTGATGTCACAGGTTTCCCCAAACACACTGGGTTAGGTGAAGACTTGCACCTGTTCCTCTAACTGAGGGGCCCATTGGGGTGGTTTTCATATTAACAAAGGAAGGACCTTCCAAAAAGAACTCAAGTCTCCATTCGTTGCTTTATGGGAACTTCTTAAAGCTCAAAGTTTCAAAGAACCAAAGAGCGCTGCCGGCATCACAAACTTCCCCTTTTCTCACTAGAAGGAAGTGTCCTCCCTATAGCACCTTGAATCATTGGAAGTGAAGACCTCTGTCCCTTCTACAGTGAGCCCAGGGGGCTAGTGTTATTTCACAGTCAAGCTTTAAAGCAGTGACTTTTCTTCAGTAACAGAAGATTTGGGGAGGACCCAAAGATCTCACTTTAGCTTTCCCTATACACCTTCTTTACTCTTTTCTTTCTCTGTAATTTATCACTGGCTGTTTAATCTTCTTTCTATCAAACCCTGGTGTTTGCTTTCTTTTAACCATGTATTGACAGTCAACCCCTAGTGATTTTAACTTTGACTATCCAGTCTATTAATTGCCTAAGGTTTTGTTTTTCTTTCTTCTTTCATTAGTCTGCTCATTGGTAGAGGAGAAGCATTTGAAATTCCTATCAGTCCTACTCTTTTATTTTTTATCTTTTAAAACTATGAAAAAAATTTTTTGAAATGAGAATTTGAAATTATCAAAAATTTTTTTGAAATGAGAATTTGAAATTATCAGTGGATTCAATTATCTTTGCTAACCGTCTCTTTAATTAATCAGCTAAAGAGTCATTATATTTATGTCTCCTCGCTTCTCTTTTTGCCCAGGAATGACATGCACTGTTTTCTTGTATTTCTTTCTCCTTCGGGAGTAAGGTATCTGAAAAAGAAATTGGACTATAATGGTTTATGTGAGCTTATATTCTATCTCATTGAAACTTATTTCTGTATAGCTCGTAATTTCCTGAAAGAACAAAAGTAAGGTTTTTGTTACAGTCTTTGGTTCTGAGGATGACATACCCTTACTTAATGATACTAAAGCCAAATTAATTTTTCAATGAAGATAAATCTTGAGTATCCACTAAGCAAAGAACTCTGTTTCTGATCTTCTAAAATCAGTGCTTTGAGAAATTTTAAGATGGTTAATGAGGTCTTATGAACACAAAGAGAAATATGATGATTAAAAGAAAACGGCCAGGGCTGAGTTGAGCTCTATATATTGTAACATCCAACTCCTTTGAAATGAACGAGTATTATATAGCAGTAGTTCAGTAATAATGCCTTTAATTGAAGTAAAATTTTGGAATATTGTGAACTTACTAATATCTTTGCATTTAGTTTTTAATGTTAAAACTAAAGTGATACGTAAAATATTTCATCTAACACAGTAGTATAGTTATTTCTCCCTCTACCCAGTATCTGGTTTGTAACAGACATGTTTCCTTAATATGCTCCTCTTCTGGGTTTTTTGTGGTGGTGGCTGTTCACTTTTCACTGAAGATGTTGAGTTCTGGCTTTATGTGTGGATGTCCTCAGCCTCGTTGGGCAGCCTTTAGGCTTTGTCTCTTTTCTCCTAAGCCCCCTGCAGCTTTTAGAAAAGGGAAGTCAAGTTCCTCAGGGATCAGCAGGGACTCTCTCAGTGTAAGTGCTTAAATCACAATTCCCTTGCCTATTTGGATTCATTTCTTCACTTCAGTTTTGTTTACTTGTATAGCATTTCCTTACTTTCCTAGCAGCACAGCAATACTTTTTTTGTTTTTTCAACTGCATTCAACATTTGTTGTTATTTTTCAGTGGTAGGCTTATTTAGGACATCTCCGTTTTGTTTTTTTTTTCCCAAGCTTTGGAATCTTTCACTTTAGATGTCTCTTTTAAATACAGCAAATTTATATTGTGCTATGTGTTCCAATCTGAGAGTCATTTTTCTCTTAGTAGGTGAGTATATCCCATTTACCTTTATTGAAAGCTTTTCTAATGTAGTTTGCTGAGGGAAACATTATTTTGTTCATGCAAATACAGTACATTCTATACTGGTATCCAATAGGAAATTACAAATTCTGGATATGTGAAACTATTTAATTAATACTGCAAAAAAGTACAATCCCATAACCTTATAGAAATGTATTAGTATCAGTGAAAGCTGGTACAAAGCAGAAAACAAAATGTTTAAATATACAAGTGAACGGGGAAATAAAGTCCCACACCTTAATATGGGAACCATAAAAGCCAATGTGAACATGGTGTTTCAATGACCACATAAGTAAGAAGCAAGACAAACTGTAAATTAAAGTTAAACTAATTTCTGTAGAATAAAGGCAGAGAAAAAAATATAACCATAAAAATGGAACAAAGCAAGTTGCGAAGTCCAATGAACTTGAATAAATTTCTGTATAAGTAGCCACAGAGCTTGTAGATCAATGGTTCAGGAGAAACTGGTACAACGGATACAGAAAAATAATACACGTGAATGACCTCCAATCATGCTTGCTTATAACAAAAATGAATAGAATAGTGCCTGGCACATCATAAGGCAGTGAAGTGTTAGTTATTATTAGTTTTTGCAGCTATCCAAGCCATTCAGTACATGGCAAAGAGAATTAAATATCTTAATCAAGGTCACACATGGTTGTGGCAGAGCCAGAATATGAATCTTCACTGGGTGACAACAGACTGTATTTCCCATCAAGAACCTTAAAATCATATGTCTACATTTAGCAACACCTCTTAGCCAGTGTTATGCCTATGATTCAAGCCCAAGGACCTCCTGATACAGTGGAGAGTTGGGTTCAGTATAGAACAAAATGGCAAGCAGGATAACATAGCTGTATGGGTCACAGGGCTGTCTTATGGTTATGAGTATGAACTCAGATCAAGGCTGTGTGGGTTCAAGTCCCAGCTCCACTACTTAGTAGCTATGTGACCCATGTTGTTCAACTTCTCAGTCCTTCAGTTATCTCATCTATAATAGATTTATAGTGTCTACCTCCTGGGGTTATTGTGAGGATTGCATGAAGTAGTAATACATATACAATTCTTAGAATAGTGCCTGGCACATCCTAAGTACAGTGAAGAGTGAGTTATAGTTTTTGTAGCTCTCCAGGGCATTCAGTATATGTTCTTTATATAATAGAAACATTATGTCACTGCCAAACCTTTGAACTGATAGCTGGCAAAATAAAGTTGAAAATGATTCTAAACTCAAGGCAAGAACTGAAATGGAAATTCGCACTTGTTATTACCAGAGCCCAGAATATAGTGCTACTCTCCTATTTTTTCTAGGTTGGGAAGTTTTGTGCTTCCATCTAACAGTAGAGGATGGGGAATGTAATATATCTGCATGCTCTGGAATGGTCCATGTGTGACTATTTCGAACAGTGAACAGAGAAAGCCTTTTGCTAAGTGATTTTAGAGGACAACAGATCAAAGAGGCATAGATGAGAAAAGGGAGCATGTGTTGAAGATTCATTTGCAAATGTTAAGGAAGATCTTAGAGGGTGCTAAATTGCTAAAGGAAACTTACAAAGATAATGCCAGTCATGGCACCCAATCCCCTGGGGACTCCAGGTCTCAGGTGCAAGGACTAAATTAAGAACCGACTTAATCAAATTCTCCATAATCCTTGGAAGCTAAAGATCCACTTCTGCAAATTTTGTTTACACTTAATATGCCGACATTTTAAATACTTGCAATCCAATTATGCTGGTTGACTGTTCCTTATCATAATTAACTATCAGGTACCTGCTGCTTTAGGAACCCTGAAAAATACAAAGAAAAAGAGTATTAATGTCTTTCCTTGAATTAATTTAGTCTTCATCGAAGAGAGAAAAATAAAAGAAGGAGTAAACGCTAAACCGTGTTATTTGGATTGTAGGGGAAACAGAGTTTTAAAGGGATTGATCACTATGAGTTAGAATAGTTAAAAACGTAATGCTAGAGGTGAAAAATGAGGATGAATAGGTATGATGGGCCCAGGTAACTTGATTAGTCTGGATCCCTGGAACAACCCCAACTTGAAATATTTTGTATTGCTTTCATGGGAAGCACTTGAGTTCAAACATTTAACAGTAATTACTACAACAGTTAAGGATACAAACTATTCCAAAGTCTCTGAAAAACAAAAGGATCTCCAATTTAGATCAAAACAACTTTGCAGTTTCTAACCATTCATTAAACTAGTTTTTACTGAGCACTTAACGATGCACCAAGCACTGCGGTGAGCTAGCCAGGCAAGGTTCCTCACTTTACTGAGATTCTTTATCAGGAGACATTCGATTTAGAGTATCTGAATCACTACAATAACACCTATTGAACACCGATTTCGTGCTAAGTACTGCGCTAAGTAATGAAGCGCCCTTCACATGCCATCTCATTTAATCATCACAACCACCCTATACATTTAGCACCTAAGATTTCCAGTTATGTCTTCGTAGGGCACCTCATCTACTTATAAGTCTCGGTGACAACAGTTGCGAAACATTTTGCTGCATCAAAATGGTACAGGGCTTCAGCTCTCAAAAACGTTCAAAACCAGCCAGCACACTACCGGAAGTAGCGGGCTGGGGCGATGCAGGCGCGGCGCAACGGATCTCCCAGGCGACTGGACGCTCCGCGCCGCGCCTTAGCCGCGGCCCCGCCCCTCCCTCGGGGCTCTCTCGGCCCCAAGCTCGCTTTCTGCGCCTGCGTACGCGCACTGACCCCGCCCCCCTGGCGCCGCCGTCGACGCCATTTTGCCACCGCCTCCGTACAAATTGCGTTGCGCTTGCCCAGTGTCTCTGAGGAGGGCCGGAGCCAGGGACAGTCCTAAGAGGGTTGTGCTCTCGGGCACCAGGCAGCGGACACTGGTAGGGAACGAACTTCCTTACTGCCCGTTGGGGCGGCGTGGGGGCCCCGCGGCTCTGCAGCCGGGCTTGTTGTGAAGCGCGGGCGGCGGTGGCGGGTGGGGGAAGGGGCGAGCAGCCGCGCCGGGTGCCCGGGTTGAGGGGTGCGTCTGCTCGCCGCGCCTGCGGTGCCACAGCCCCCAAGCCCATCAGCGCCTGGCAGTTTCCAGCCTTGTCTCCGAAGCAGCCAGACCCCACTTTCTCCCCCGGCCTGCGTGCGGCGGTGGCGCTGTCTCAGCTCAGCGCAGTGGGGTGCACCGCCTGGTGGTGAGCCCGCCGTGACGCCCCCCACCCCGCGCCTGGGGCCTTTCAGTCGTTTGTTCATTCGGGCCGCACCTTCTGGGCGCTGCCCTGCAGGCTCTGTGGATGGGGCAGTCAACAAGTTAGGCACAGCCCTTGACCCTCCCGCACAGGGGTCGCTGTCTTGGTGGCGGTCGAGGATAATAGGAAAGCAAACGCCTGCAGGCTTCGAGAAAGAGGAGAAACAGTGTGGAGGGAGCTGCCTGAGAGGGTGGAAAGGGAAGGCGTTTCGGAGATGGGCCCTGGAGCGGATAGGTGCGGCTCAGCTGTGCAGACGCCGAGGAAAAGCAGCACTACCGAGGCGGAAGCGGTCCGCGAGCGCTTCGAGGCCGAGACTGGAAAGGAACGGGAAGGCCGGGTGCCCGCGTGGAGCGGGATGAGAAGGGCTCGAGAGAAGAACGGGTTTTAGGGTGGCCAGAGTGGCCGCGCGGGAGCCATTCAGGACGACATGGCTGTACTCCCGGTGCGCGGTGGTGATGGCAGGGGACCCGGGGAGACACGCATGGATAAGGAGACGGGTGTTGGAGGCCGACTCGCGGAGTCGGTTAGGAGTCAGACTTGTCTGGTTTGGAATTCTGCGTCTCCCAGTTGTAGAGACTCTGTCTTCCAGGGCAGATTGTTCTCAGTGGACTCACCTGTAAAGTAGGGAGGATACTAATAATGCTGTATATACTTGTTGTAAGGATTCAGTAGAATAGTTCACGTAGAGGGTGTTCTGTAAGGATGCTGCCTGGCTGATAGTGCAGGCTCAATGCGGATAGCTACATGGAGGACCTTGGAGTGGATGGGCTCCCAAGTTGTGACATGAACCACTTAGGGGATGGTGGTACCGTTTACGGAGATGGGAGCACTGGGATTTCCGGGAGGAGGAACAAGTTTGGGAAGGAAATTTAAAATCCTGTTTTGATGGAGGTGCCAAGCTAGCATGCCGATGCGTACATTTAGTGCTGCAGTTAGGTGAACTTGATTTTGGAGCTTAAAGAGAATGGACTGAATTGTCAATATATGTTTGGGCATCATTAGCATATAATTGATATTAAATATTATGGAGTGAGCTGAGACTCCATACCTAGGGAGGAAGAAATTTGATAGGGTAGTCCTTCATATTTAATGTTACTCATTCACCCTGAAGGCTTGTTTTTTTGTTTTGTTTTTTAATTATTCAGGGGTGGAATTTATAGATAGATATCTCCCCAGGGTTCGTCTGTTATTACAGAATAAACAGGTTTATACTAGGGTCCAGTTTGATGACATTAGATTTAGGTGCTAAGAAAATGCACTGAACATTAAAAAGTAGTGGGGTTCTCAAAGCAAACTAAATTCATACCATATTTTCTCTAGTTCTAAATTTGGTCTCATATCTTGCTTATAATTTAGACGCATATTTTAGTCTTAGAGTCTTCATAATTTTGGGTATTTTATTAACTGGGAAGTTGAGTGAGAGTGCCAATAAGTAAATATGGTATGTTGCACTTCAAGAAAACTTAATATCTTCAAATTTTA